TGTCCAAACAAAATGTCAGATTGACAAATGAATAATATGTTACAGGTATCTAATAATTATTTTAAGAAAAAGAATATGTACAAACGAAAAAAATATCTATAAGAAACGTGTAATAAATTCTCTTCTTTCTAATATTGACTACTAACGTATGTGAACATTTTGTCACATTGATGAAATTAAAATCATAATTCTGTCATTATTTTTAATTACGGAAATTTTTCAGTTTTCTCTTCTCAAACTATAGACTAATAAATTTTGAACAATAATAATCAAATATTCAAATTACAAAACGAAATTATAAATTTGTAGAATTTTGATATTATTTCAAAATGCAGAGAGTATTAATTGTTATTTTTTAAAGATATCCTACGGTTGAAAAAACTCGTTCAGCTACTACAATGTAGGAGTAATAGTCAATAAATATTTATAAGCCATGTGTAAATATTTTCCCTTTGTGCGGTCGCTTTCAAAGGCAGTCATCTCTTTCTTTAAGATTTTATTAATATTTTCTGACAAACCCTTTGATTCAATTACAGTAGAGCCTTCTGTATCCGAATACCCTAATGTTCGAACGTCCTACTATCCGATCGTTCTGTTATCCGAACAGAGTGTCTTCAGACAACACATGCCTTCTCCTGTTTGAAATATGTAGAGCTTACATGCGATGTATACTCCCTTATGCCCGATCGAATTCTACGCAGTTATTTATGTTGGAAAATTTCTGTAATTTAGCAACCAAAAAAATATGGGATTTCTAAATATTTGAACTGTCAATTTTCTTGATCTGTATTTAAATAAATAAAGTTTAGTATCAAATAAATGATTGTTCTATTATCTGAAGATTCCTTTATACGAACACATGTCTCCCAATTAATTCGTATACAAGAGTCTCTACTGTACTTCGAAATAGTTGGTTACTTTCATGAACATCTTGATCTTGGTTTTCCTCGAAGTATTTGGATGCACTATGGAACTTATTTATACTATTATCCACGCGTCTATTATTGAGAACTCTTTCTAATAGTTTTTTTATTTCTTTGCGAATTAGAGATTTTTTTAGGCATTGCGTATGTAGTATCTTTAAACTTTTTCAAATGATGTTCAAATTTATTCGGATCTTTCAAATAAATTAACGTTCCACTTAAGTCGGTGCGACGTTGTTTTATTCTTTTACGAAATGCCGTAGTTAAATCAGTGCTGAGAAGAGTAGATTACTTGTCCAATTTCTCCAGTATAAAGTGAAACGTTGTTTCTGTCGTGATCAGAGTTGAATCTCTTTTACACATTACTTCGAGACCCAGCTTAACTGGTCCCAGACATAATTTTAAGTCATTTATTGTGGACCACTCTTCATCGGTGAAATATATTTCCGATTCTATATCAATTAAAGCTTTGTTTATGCACAATCCTAGGTTGGCAACAATTTTAATTGAATACGACCAAGCTACAACACTTGATTTGCAGAAATTAGTAGAAAATGTTGCAAGGAAAAAGGTAAGAAACATTAAATTTTAATTTTATGATCTATGTGTAACTCTTTTTTTGTGCAATTGATAATAAATATGTGGATTCAAATTATTGTTTTCTTTTTTTACAATTTCAATTTTGAAAAAAACGTAACTAATTTGTAAAATAGGGGGCGCGTTAATTAAATTGTCTACGTAGATTTCTTTTGAGAATGCAAACGTTTCGAACGGATGTTGACGCTTTACTTTCTCCTTCTCGTTAACTGGTATAATTTTTTATAGGAACTATTGTTCCTCATTTATCCAACAATGTGAAAGTCATGTTTGAATTTGTATCGGTATATACACTCCTGCCCTTAAATGTTAGGACACTTGTAAATGGGATGAATGACAAGTGTACCCAATGAAACATTATGAAACTATTGAAAGTTTGAAATAAACAACATCTAGAAAATATTAAAGTTTAACAAGCACTACGTATGCTATCAGGGAGTAATGAATGCGACACAGAAGGTGCAAATTATATGAACCTTACTACTCATCATCGAACTCCGCCCTGAAGGTCTCATCCCTTACTGACCGCTAGAATGAAGATATCCTCCACTCTCTAAATTACTGAACCTATATCTTACGCGTATTTCTATGTAAAAGTAGCAGTATTCTCCGAACAGTTTCTGCATAACCGTCTAAGATCGACTTTAGAAATATCTATTATACGCATCAGGTATCCGTTTCCGGTTAAGAATAGCCTAGGACGTGTACGCGACGACATAAATGTGTCGAGTGTGGTTAAGGAAGTGCGATTTTGAGTGAGAGAAGATAAGGTGATTAGAGCAGGAGTGGTGTAAGGTGGTGTAAAAGGGCGTAGAGCTCAGGGGAAAGAGGTGGAGG